CAAGGCTTGTAGCGATGGCTGTTCTAAGGTCAGCCATTGAAGGATAAACGCCTGTATCCATCAAAAAGCTTTACAAGAACCTATTTTATACATATGAATAATCCATTTGTATTTTAGGTACAACTTTTCAATTCTATTTATGGTCAACAGGCCTTGATTGATTGAATTAGGCGTGACATTCAGTTAAATCTTCCAACACACGATATATCTATTCCATGTTGCAATGCTTCTGTGTGTTTGTGTGCTATTACACAGGTCAGCGTAGAGTGTCCATACCCTAATCAAATTAGATGTTTTCCTTGACTTTCTCTAGCGTCAATACGGGGTCTTTTCTTCCATTATTCTTACCAACTTGACCCAACAGTAGCGCGCGATGTGTCATGGCTCGTTGGACTTAAAAATAAATCAATTTACCATAATCTGCCCCACCCTTTTGTTTTTGCATCTAGGATCTCGTTGTAGAATTTATTTGGGGGTTTCTGTTTCGAAGCGGAGATTGTCTCTGGGTAGGTCATCTAGGGGCAGATAATTGGTGCTGATCTGCTATTGTCTGGGAGCAGAGACATGGGGCTTGGAAGTGTTCTTGTAATCTCTTGTTACAGTCGAGAATAGCTTAGGGGGGGGGGGGGCTATTATATAAAATAAGGATTTTTCAATACGTTCTTGAATATCCTTTTAAAAGGAGTCCCTTTTCTTGCAGATAACAATAAACTCGTTTTCGTTGAATCCCCCAATTACATATTAAATACTCCTCTCTTCTTCCATTGAGGGATATATCTTGTTGCAGAACACTACGGTTTCTTCCGCGAACCTTATTGCTGGTTCATTCCAATGTGGCATTCTGTTTATCTTCATTCTCAGTTCCAAAATCAATTACCAAAATATTCATTGAAGCGATCAAAGCCGTTCAAATTTGGAATGACGGCAGGATGGTTTCCTTTGATAAAAAATCTCTTTAAATTTTAATCCCGCGCGATGAGACACTCTTGATTTTCCAATAATTTCTACACCAGGAAAAAGTTATTATTCTCTATAAAGAAACGTGAATATATTTAATCAAACTTTATTCAGACCATATATAGTTACTTCAGTTTCAAAGAGAAATTCTTCTGGCAAATTAAAGGCCTATCAATGGGCAACCTCATTTTATCAGAGTTGGCTAACATATTTATGAACGAAATAGTTTCAAAAATCATTAATTCAAATAATTTGTAAATATAGCTATGAATAAGATATATTTATGACATCTTGTCTAACTGAAACATACATTGACAACTTCATAAGGTTTCTAAATAATCTTGAACCTTTTCAAAAATTCTCTACTACAAGATGTAAATCAAAATTCCTTAGCCTTTTTAAACATCCAACTTAACAGAAAACAATTTCACATAGAAACTGGCATGTACAGAAAACCTCTACTCACACAGGAAACTATTTGAATTTAAGTTCTTTTTGCCCTATACATAATAAAATCGCAGCTAAATTTATTCCCAAAATAAAATAAAAAATACAGTTCGAATATAAATATTGCAACAGAAAAAATAAAATAGAATATTTAAAGAATTGATGAAAAAATTATTATTCCAAAACTTCATTGAAAACATTCTAATAAACGTTAAATTTTATATTCAAATAATAGAGTCATGATCAACACAATCCTCACTCTCTCTCCATCTAAAGAAGATATTGCTCTATTCCATATAGCTCAGAAAATATTGCCACGTGTAAAATTAGGGAAGACAAAAACTTCAGGAGGAGACAACAATTTATTTCAGGCAAGAACACACTATGAATGGTAAACAAAAGATAAGCCACGAGGGAAATTTACAGAGTATCAAAATATAAACATAAAAATGACCACTCTGTTAATAAAAATAATAAAATTAATAAATACTTTGTTACAATATTGACAGAGAATTTTGAAGAGATATAAGATTGTAATATACCAACCAGTCTCAAATCTGAAACAAATATTTAAGCTACTCATGTACTAAACATATTTCGAAACAGCAAAATGAATACAATGTAATGTAATACAATTCCTTGCACAACATGTCATGCTACCTATATCAGAGAAGCCGCTAAATCACTGAAAAACCGTATCAATCAGCATAAACAAATTATAAGCCATTATATGGGGGGTCGGTGGAAGGATAGTCTAAACCGTTGGTTTTCGACCACTACGACCCGGGTTCGATACCTGAATTGGGCACTTTTTTCTGATTAAAAAAAAATCCAATGGCCCCCGATTCTTGCAAAAGTCCAACCGCACCAGCGAGTGCAAGTAACCAAACGAGGCTCTGGCACATTTGTAAGTGCAAAGTCGAACTGCTTTTCACATGTGTAGACATGTGGTGCACTTACAGTAAAAGCAGTCACTAACTACCCACCATGATTATCATGGCCTGTACCACGTGTAATAGGGATTAGCAAAAAGAAAAAGCCATTATCCCTCCTATAGTTCACCACTATTTAAATAACCATAGAACAGATTTTTCGAATAGGCATCAATTATGTAACAGAATATAGCAGAAGAGCATTGTAGATTAATTTTAGAAATTTCCGCAGAAGATAAACAGAGAATAGATAGAAAAATTGATTTTCCAGAAATTTATTAAGAATTTATATCTTAATTATTTAAAAAAATAAACTTTTAATTTATTCATTCCATTTGTTTTAATTTTTGTTATTATTAATTTGTAATTATTATTTAATATATTTTTATAGAGAATTATTCATAATCACAAACATCACTGTTTATATTTTCTATATATTGAAATAATAAAACAAAAGTTATTATAATATTATATATATTTATTATCTATATATATACTAATGGCAATATTCAAATCACAGATACAATTCTTTCGTTGGCCTTGCAGAACGAGAGTTGTGCACGCGTGCACTCGTTCAAAACATCCTCGATAAAGAGAGGTGAGTTGCCCCTCGAAATCATATGATGATTTTAAAAAGAGAATTTCCTGACTGCTCACAAAAGAGTTTTATATGACAGAAGGCCATCTAGTGGATCAAAAAATAAACTAAACGTTCATTTTAGTTTGTTCCATAATATTTGAACAACTCATATTCCTGATAGATAAAAAAGTAAACTACGTACGCGTCATTAGTATTTTTGGAGGTGGAGGTTCAGCCTGCACCACCCTGACGAGGGCCAACAGCCCGAAACGCGATTGTGGTTGACTTCTCTTGAATTATCAAGAAAACGGGTTCGCCAAATATCGATGTTTAGTTTATTTTTGTTGCTCGAGATGGCGCTCTGCCTTCTGAAATGTTCATGTGAGGGATTAGGAAATGCTTTTATTATTTTTAATATAAACACCTGACCATTTATATGTATATATATATTTCAATTATTTTCACACACACAAATATATAAGTCAAAATAGTACAAAAGTGGAATTGTACAATAAAATTTAGCTTACACCACGCTGATGAGGGCCAACACCCCCGGAACGCGTACGTGGCTAGCTTTTTTTGTTAAACCAAGATAGGGTATTTTTGCCAATTATGGAATAAATAAAAATCAACAATTAGTTGATATTTATTCCGACAGATGGCGCAAGCCATCAGTAACCTTTAGTTGCACGATCAGGAGATGCCATTTACTTTAATAAATATTATATTATTTTGCTTAGATAGAAATTATTTGCTGTTTTTAATGCATGACTATTATGCCAATGGTATGCAGTTGTGAAATCCCTTTTGAAGAAAATACAATGAAACAACTTTAAGTCACAATTTGATCTAATTGAGCTACCGGGCAGTTGGCGTTTTTTATGCTCCAGGGGCCTGGGGTATTCTTATTTCTCTCTCTAAATGGGCTGAGAGATAAAATAATCGAGAGTGAAATACACAAATTGGGGCGTAAATAAGGAAGAAAATAAAAGATTTTATAACACATATTTACAGAAAAATTAAGTCCGCCAAAGAAAACAGCAACAATAAATTTATATAAGTGCAAGGAGTCGCCATCTGGCGGTCGACTTTACACAGAGGTTTTCTAGAACTATATATTTTAAAATTAAATATTTATATAACATATATATAGTTAAGATATATATATTTATTATTTGCTTATCCCTAGTACATGTGGTACAGGCCATGATAATTATAGTGGGTAGAAGGCGACTGCTTTTACTGTAAATGCACCACATGTCTACACATGTGAAAAGCAGTTCGACTTTGCACTTACAAATGTGCCAGAGCCCCGTTTGGTTACTTTCACTCGCTGGTGGGGTTGAACTTTTGCAAGAATCGGGGGCCATTGGAGCATTTTTTTTAAATCAGAAAAAAGTGTCCAATGCGGGAATCGAACCCGGGTTGTAGTGGTCGTAAAACAATGGTTTAGACCATCCTTTCACCGACCCCCTAGTTAATATTGTCAACATATAAAGTTAGATTAAATCCAGTATTTTTGTATGTCGATGAATAATTATTATATGTATAGAGAGAATTACAATCTGTATATTAAAGATGAGTTAGCTCTCTGCGAAATATCGATTATCTATTGACGGCTAGGGAACGAAGTTCTAGAAGAACCAGCTGCGTCCAAATATCGGAATATTTTAATGATCATTCTATTTGGATCCAAGCGTTGCAAGATATGCTCACGTGGAAAATTAGGGAACGACACAGCAATTTATTTAAGTCAAGAACAAACTATGAATGATAAACAAAAGATAAGTAATGAGGGAAGTTTACAGATTAACAAAATATAAACATAAAAAATGATACTCTGTTAATAAAATAATAAATACTTTGATACGATATTATATCTATAAAATAGATATGGTTCTCTCTCTCTCTCTCTCTCTCTCTCAAATCCCTTCATATAGGGCGAATTATATAATTTTTATCACAATATTTGAGACTTCATATACGTAGTTTTAAATAGTTAGTTGGAGATATATATAATAAATATAATAGAGGTTATATATAATAATAAATGCTCCCTAGAATCCCAGCCTACAAGAGCATAAGGCCATTATGTAGCTCAGTGGTAAAGCGTCCTCTTTGCATGTGAAAGGACCCGGGTTCATTCCCCGGTATATCCACCTTTTTTTCAATGTCGGGCTCGGTCAGTACACCGGGTGCTGTAGGCTAAGTTGCATAGAGCCAATAATGCATGCGGAAGAAATAAATTGTTATAACAACATTTTCCAACTTCCTTGAATCCCATTTCGAACAAAATTTCGGAACAACTGTAAAGTTTTCCTAGTCTGTTTTATTCGTTCACTATTTGAATGATGCACCCGGCTTCGCCCGGGTTCTCCTTGAGTGATAGTTTGCCTCAAAGGAATATTGTTTTTAAATTTTTATATTTATTATGATTGTATCATTATCATGGCACCATGATTAGTAGTCTGGATGATAAGATTAATGTACTATTATCATCATTTTCTGAATCCAAATTATTTTATTTTAGAGTGATAATGACATAATCATAATAATTAGCATTTGTTGAAGCAACATTCGTTTGGCAAACATTTACTTGGGGAGAAACAGGGTCATGAAAATTATTTCTAAATTAAAAATAAGTCTTCAAAATCTGTTAAAAGTTATATTATTTTATTAGTATCATTTTCTCAGGAATAAAATATGGAATTTGGCCTTTATTTGGCCCTTTTTTATCAATGAACAGATTGACAGACAAATTTTAATCTTTATAATAATAGAGATAAAAGGTTGTAGAACGATATTCAATAATTATCCCGCAAATGTTTATTTTAAACGAATAATCGAAATTTATTTCAAGGAGAAATAACGATTATTTCTAACCTTAAGAATGAAGTATGAAAGGATGAATTGTAAAGAGTAATGATAAAGGGAAAAATAAAGTGTACAGGGATGGGAATCGAACCCACAGTGTTCCGCTTACCGGGCAGATGCCATGTCCACTAGATTACCCTGGACATATTTTTCCGTTCGTAAATATTATATAAAGTAATTTATAATACAATATAATGCGGCTTATGATTGCAGAACGACATTTGACAATTAGAGATGAAAGGTGTTGCGCATAAATTAGTACCACTTTCCAGAGATAGATGGCGTCAAAATAAGACTAGTTCAGTTGTCCGAACTAAGGAACCAACAACAAGCAGATTCCTGGCCACCTCCACCAGGAAAATGGGAAGTTGTGTTCTACTCAGGAGAAGTCCCAACTGGACGCTTGGGAGTTGGCAACCCTCCCTCCTTAATGGCGGCCTTTCTTCTCAATTGAGGAATCTAATGTCTAGCTCTTGTAGCTACTTAATCCTCTAAATAACCTTGTTAGCATTTTAAAAAAGCGTATTTATATCTTAAAAAGCGATATATTACACTTTTATTTTTCAGTTGACGCAGTTTTTCTGTTAAATATGTAAGATAACAATTCAAGAATCAAGGGATGAGTGTCTTTTATACGTTGATTTATTGTAAAACGCTCAAGCTTTCGGGCTGGCCGGCCCTTCTACAGGAGACAAGTGAAAACATATGGCACATTGGACACTATATAGGGAAGAGACTATTTACATATTTAAAAACTATAGGGATTTTGCATATCTATGAAATGTTGAGAGGAATAATTAGCATACTAGGAAATTATGGAAAGGCGGAATTAACATGCATGATAATAGCTATTGAATGTAGTAGAGTTGGGAATATTTTCTGATTCTCGAATTGTTATCTTACTTTATTGAAGGGATTCCAGTACTTATAGTTGAATATGTATACACTCATGTGTGGACAAGTTTCATGCCTTTTTTTTCTAAATAAACCACTCCTCGTTTTATTATATAACGACGGGATTCTCATACATATAAATACGAAAGTTTTCCTTTTTAAATAATTTTAAAAATTTTGTGGTGTTATTTTAGAGGTAAAGTTTATCATCGAAAACCCAAGGCTTTAGAGCAAATGAATATTGCACTAGAAGAAGAATTTAATCTTCTTGATGGGGATTTATGTGCTCGTATTTGTCAAAGTGTCCCTGAAAGACTTAGATTGTGTTTGGAATCAAATAGAGGATATTTTGAATAACTATTAAATTTAAATATATATATTTTTAAAGTAATATATTACCTAAAATAAAATATTTGCCTACTTAATGTGGAGCTCAGCTTGTTTTGTGTTCCTTTATAATAAAATAACTGGCGATCACATAATTGTATGTCCTTGATTATAATAATAAGCGTCATATGTACACTAATGGACAAAACAAGTCTTCAACATCGCCGGTCGTCTTTTTTTTAAAGAAGAAGACAGATGCAATTTTGTTTACACTTGGTTATCTCGTGTATCTTCAATAAAGATCACTGTCTATAAAATATAACCTTCAAAGTTATTGTCTGAATCCCTTCTTTAAGTTTTGTCCATGAGTGTATAAGTGTTATGATGGGGAATATATTCTCACTGCCTTTTGTTCCCCCGCGGCCCTAGTGTTCCCTCTCTATCCTGTGGTTCCAGCGGTGGTCAGTTATTAAGCCGACTATTATAGAGATGACAGAACTCACCGTGGTCTGCAGCAGCCCTGAGTAGTACTGGAACTCCGGGGACGAGCGGTCCTCCAACTCCCAGATCCAATCCATCCCGCGCAGGATCCTGATGATACCTGTGATTTTGATGGGGGAGTCCAGAACCGGAGCACTGGTCGTGGTGACTACGGACTCCTCGGTGATCACCGCGGTGGGCTTGGTGAACTCCGCCGGACCTCTGGTGGTCGCTCTTGGACTGGTCTCCTCTGTGGTCACCATAGTGGTGCTCTCCCGTGTGACAGGTGACGTCGTCTCCACCTTGGTGTCGTTCACGACTTCCACTTTAATCTCCTGGAAGGTTTCTTCGTGCAGCCTCTGGGTGACATTGCTGTCGAACTGCTCCATACTCTGATTTGGTCGGATACCCTCGGGGTAGATTGTGGTCTGGACTGTAGGAATCTCTTCGTTCGGTTGGGTATGGTTCTCTTCGGGGAGGTTGGCCGTCACCACTTCAGTGTCATTGAGGAGGGTGAGGTTAGGTGTAGTAACCTTGGGCTCGGCGGCCGGAAGGTTCTGCGGCGGGATGATGAACTGCACTAGGGGCTCTACCTTCCGTGGAGGGTGGGCTGCTGAAGGCACGGTTGTCTCGACCAGCTTGGGCGGCTCTAAGGTGGAATTCTCGAGAGTTGTTATGCTTGAAGAAGGAGGCTGGGTGGTGGTAGTTGGAATGGGATGCTTGGGTCTTCGGACTTTTGGAGGTCTCGGCATGGGAACTGAGGTCGTGGAATCTGCCAAGTCCCCTTTCTTGGATCCATCGTGGCCGTCTGCACATCACCAACGCAACTTTGATTAAAAGTAAAATGGTATGGTATATGATTAAAACCTTATTCGGATCGTATAAAATCAATTTATCAATCAATATACCAATTTATCAGGCAATTATTGATATATTAAATATTGATGTTATCTGTCCGCAGTACTTCTTTTTATGGCAGATTATTGATGTTTCCAATATTGAGACGTTTTAAAAACATCCTGACAAATCAGTCGCAGCTCACGCACAATCCGCATAGAAGCTGTGCTGGGACGTTTATATAATCAGAGAAAGGGTGATCGAGTCAATCATTCCTTTTGAAAACTACACTTTAAAAATTCGTTTAGTTTTTTTTAAATAGAAATATTGTGGAGAAATCAGATAGATATTTTCCAAAATAACTTTATTAGGTACCGCTCAACAAGAGCAACCTAGTTTATGATAATTGAAACAATGTATAATATGTGAGTTATTCACATATTAAACATAGGTTAACGTGGGATTATATCCCGGTTAATGACTGTCGGGAATCGAGGGTGTTACCTACTCATCCACCGACTTGTTATATAAATAATTTTAAAAACTGAAAAATTTGAATAAAATTAATGCCAAACGATGTTAACCAGTGCCCAAACAAGTAGACTAGTTGCTCAGACCCTATATAATTTTTACAAGGCAGTAGGTGTAAAGAGGGAGAAAAGAGAACTCGGAAGCTATTGTTCTTACACCTCAGAATGATGACGAAACATCGAGGGGCCATCGTGTTGGTCGACGATGAGATTGCGGAGCTGGTAATATGGATGGCTGTGCTGGAGTAAACCTCCTTTTTTTGTGTCTGGATGCTATATTTATGTCGAACTAAACAACTTAGTCCCTATTTCTGCTCCGCGCTTATGGATTTGAAGACTTGGGACGATGGCGTCGACCTTTCATATTAAATCTTACTTTTCCTTATTACTAATAATTGTATATAGTTGCGGAACTACTGGTTTCCTGTGCTGCTCTTTTCCTGTTATTGCACCTTATACGGAGAATCTGTATAAGACTAATGTCTTAATAAAGGCTGTGTGTGTGAATAAAATTAATGGGAATAGAAAAAGAGTTTCGACTATTTAAAAAAAAATAGAACGCATAATTTTGGATGCTTGTTGAAAAATGCGGAAAATTTTCATAACTATTAAAGATAATTTATATTTGAAGGAAAGATTTAAGAGCAAAAATAAAATCTCTAATTAAAAGTGTAAAAAAAAACGTTGAGAAATTATCGTAAAACAGGGATAATTCTGAACTAAATTGAATTTTTAATACGGCAAAAATGTTTTGCCTACAATAATGTCTATAGAAAAATATATTTAAAATATCGGAGGTTATCGCGATTTCTGCGTGTGATTGAGAAGTAAGTCGCCAGGTTTAAACAGAAACTTGAAAAAAATCAATCACCGCGGCAAAACTTCAATTTTTATAAAGGGAGAGAAGAAAATTGATAAATAACTTCCCAAATAAACGTACTTTCTTAAATTAAATTCGGCGAATTCATCATTGGTTCTTATTTCTGACGGCACTTGATGAGGAAGAAGAAAAAACCTAAGATGGATGATGTGTTGAAATCTTTTTGGGAAAAAATCTGTTTATTTATTGATATAAGAAATGGCAGTGGGAATTACCAAAATGTGCATCAAACTTTCTGAAAATTGGATTGTAACATAATTTATAGAAGATTTTAAAAAATATTCTAATTTATATTAAAATCTTTGACATCTTTAAATCAAAATGAATATATATAAAT